TAGCTCCTGCCAACCAGCAGCTGTTCTCTGCTTGGACTCAAGGAATCTTGACGTGCATCCACGGCTTTGTGTTCAGCCCAAGACCCAGGTGGGACCGCACAGATTTCTGGTCATCTCCTCTCTTCTAGAGGGGCACCCTTCCCCTTCCGGGACCGTCCTGCACATTCTCGTTGCTTCAGCTGTCCTGAACTGTGTGCCGTGTTCTCTCTGCCCAGCAAGAGCAGGGCCTCCACTGCTCTTTGTTGTAGTTTAGAAAATGGCCCTGAGAGAAAGCTGGGGACAGAGTGGAGTTACTCAGTGCGTACTCCTTATTGGAGGATCATAACCTTATGCTCCCTGTTGTCTGATGACAAAACAGTTGCTTCATGTCTTTTGTCCAGTTATACAGCTCTTTACAGTAGCTGGGGTGGGGGGGGGCATAATCTTGAGCTGTTATTCTCCTGACCAAAACTGGAAGTCCAGCCTTATAAAAGTACATTTTTGTTTTAACCAAACTGCCAAGTTAACCTTTTATCAGTCATGTAATTAGGGTAACTTCAGATCATCCTCAGTTCATGGTAGTCTTTTCTTAACCCTTCATTTAACGCCTATGTTAATGCAAACCAAGCTCGAGTCAGCCCTTCAACATCCTATACTCCCAGTCGGCACAAGAGGAGTTACGAAGATGATGAAGATATGGACCTGCAGCCTAATAAACAGAAAGACCAACATGCGGGTGCCAGGCAGACAGGTAGGTGTGCCAACAGGCTTTCTTCAGCCTTCGGCTCTCTCTCATTAGTTTTGTTTGCACAATTAATTGTTATATGATACAGCTCTCAATTTAGGAACTGGCAGTAATTCGACAACCTTGTTTTCATGGTAATCAGAATTATAGGCAGTGTTGAGAGTTTTTAGAGAACTCTGCTCAGTCGTGCTTCATAACTGAGCAATTAGGAATCAGAAGTGGCTGCTCTGTCAAAGGGTTAGCTGAAAAAGGTCTTTTCTCTTTATTTTTATCTCAGCTCTTAAGTAATATAAAAGCATAGTCCTTTAGCCTAAGAATGATTGATTTCTATCTGAAAACATCCTTTTTATTTTCTCTTTGGAATAGTGGCACTTTAATTTAGTAAGACTGAAAACATCAGCGGAAAAACAAAGTGTATATAGTAGATTACTTATTCTTAAACTCTAAAGCAGATCACCCTTAGAACAGTCACAGCTCTGTTCTGTTCACATACATTTGTAGTGGCCGATACCTTGAAACATGCTTAAAACACAACTAATTCTAATTGAAACGAGGAGGCCAAAGTTGAAATTTGCTAAGAGCATGGGGGAATTTCAGGATGGGTATATATCGTTATCAGTTTCACCAGTCACACTTCTTTACGTGCAGTGAATTTCTTTTATTATGGCAGGTAGATACGTTTGTCTTTATTTCTCCTTTTATATTCAGTCATTTCTCTTTAGCACCTTTAATCACAGGGCAAGTTAAAGGGGGAAGAGGTAGAACAAATTAGTTAATTGGTCTCTTAGATCGGGTTTGGAGGGCAAACATAACAGTGATAAAGAATAGTGAGTTGCATTTAACCATATATTAGTCTACTTTATAAGTTCGTATTACTGTATTTAATGCTGAGGCATATTTTAATGTTTTTAAAGTTGGAATGTTTTACAGTAATTATATACAAACATGGTAGTATTCTTTCTTTTTTCATCCACCTCAAATGTTTATGAAAATTAATGGTGTAACATTAAGTGACCGAATCCAGGTCATATTGTAGTTCTTTCTTTTTACTTAAAAAAAATTTGATGCTCCTTTCTATTTCTTGTTCCTTTTAATTTTTTATTTGAGTACATTATTTATGTAAAGTTTAACTTGTTTCGTTGATTTCTAGGCAATCTCTCAGGCTATCAATATTCGTAAATTTTTTTTGAGATAATAGATTCACATACAATAATAAAAAAATAGAGAAATAATAAAGAGAGATCCTGTGTACCCTTGACCCAGTTTCCCCCAGTGGTTACATGTTGTATAAGTTCAGTAGAATATCATAGCTAGGAAACGGGCAGAGATACAATCCATGATCTTGTTCAGAATGCACATTTTTTTACGTGCACCTATTTATGTGTATTTAGTTTATGCGGTTTCATCACTCGCGTAGATGACACGTGACCACTAGTACAGACAAGATACAGAGCAGTTCATTACTTGTTTTTTCATGTTGCCCTTTTAGAATCATACCCTCCTCTCCTGCTCCTCCCCTTTCCCCAAGTCTCCAACCCTGATAACCACTCATCTTGCCTCCATCTCTATAATTTTCTGTTATTTCAAGAATGTTATATAAATGAAATCTTATAGTATGTAAACTTTGCGGATTGACATTTTTCATTCACCCAAATTCCCCTGAGATCCAGGTCATTGCATGCGTCAACAGTTTGTTCCTTTGTGTTACTGAGTAACATTCTGTGGTATGGCAGGCTAGATATTGATTCTGATTAGTAATCAGCCCTGAACTGTGACAACTTCAGGGGTAGGGGCTATCTTTTAATCATCTTTGTATCCCCAACAACTAGTCTGATTCCTGGCACATAGCAGATGTTAATAAATATTTGGTAAGTGAATTTATTGCTGTATAGTTTTATTCTGCTTACTAAGTAGCAAAAGGTATGTTATACTAAGGCAGTTAACTTTTAAAAGTACTTATACTTAAGACTTGATGGGGGGAAAATTTGTTCCTATTTTATCGTAGGAGGAACAGTGATTAAATTTTTCAGATCATCATCATAATCTTAGCTCTCTTTATAGGTCCGACAAGGGGTTTTGTTAGTATGTGTTATTTCCTTAAAAACTATAACAACTTGAAGTTTGGGAGCTCAGAAGCATCGTTTATGTTAAACTTGAAAGGCTCCTAAGGGAGGGCTCTTTGTCTCCAGAAGGCCTTGGAAATGGCTAAGTACAGTACTCTCCTTTGATTTTAGGAGGCGTCGGTGGTCTTCAGTGGTGTGGAGAGCCGAAGCGTTTGGAAACGGAAGCGTCTTCTGGACAACAGCTGAACTCCCTCAGCCTCTCTTCTCCCTTCGACCTAAACTTCCCACTGCCAGGAGAGAAGGGCCCTGCGTGCCTTGTGAAGGTGATGAACCTTTCACAGACCCAGCACTGGCAGACGTGCTGTGTGTTTCAGAAATTAAAATGAGGAAGTCGGCGTTTGTGTTAGTTTTCTATTGCTGCTGTAACAAATCACCCCAGACTTAGTGGCTTAAAACAAAAACATTTCCTCTTACAGGCTTTCGGTCAGAAGTCTGACGTGGCTCTTCCTGGGGGTAAAATCAAGGTGTCGGCAGGGCCGTGTTCCTTTCTGAAAGTTCCTGGGGAAAATCTGTTTTTTTGCCTTTTCCAGTTTCTGGAAGTGCCCCCCTTCCTTGGCCCATGGCCCCTTCCTCCATCTTCATAGCCAGCAACAGTGCATCTTTCTGGCCATTTTTTTCAGACACAACTCCCTCTGACCAGAGGTAGGACAGAGTCTCCAATTTTAAGGGCCCATGTGATTAGATTAGGCCCACCACATAGTCCAGGATAATTTCCCATCTCAGGGTCCTCAATTCATGCAAGTCACTTTTGCTTTTTAAAGTAACATATTCACAGAATTTAGGAATTAAGATGTAGATATCTTTGGGAGGCCATTTTTCTGTCTGCCCATAGCATTCTTAAAGAATTAAAGAATATTTCAGTTGCAGCGATGGAGCAATTTTTTAATTCATGTCTACTTCCTTTCTATATTATTTCTAACTTTCTGATAGCTACTTCGTTTTCGCCATTCTCTTATCAGAATGTTTCTCATTTGTATTTAAAATAAAATGGAAGAAAAAAATTCTACTTATAGTTCTCCTATCTTGCTTATTCTTGTTTTTTAATCCTGATAGGTGAACAAGTGATACCAGTTTCAGAAATGATCATCGAGAATTCGTGTTCTTATTTGTGGTTTTAACTTAAACAGCACTTCTGAAGTTAACAATATTTGTTAACAATGTTTGTCCTGCCATGCTTATGTTGGGTCTCACCAGTAGGAGGCTTTGACAGTTATTAAAGTCCATCATGACAGGCAACTGTGAAAGTTTGTTTTTTGTTGTGCAAAACCTCACGTCCACTCTGAGTTTTGTGTTAGCCCTCCCAATATTGCATAGTTTGTGAGTAAGCCCAGAGTTCACAATCCTGGGGGTTTCCCCCTTCTCTCAGTGTGATTGGTTAATAGACTGTGAGATAATGCACGTTTCTGGTTTGAGCTGACCATCATCCTTCGGGAAAGCCTTTCCCTCAAAGCGGTGTGGTGTGTTGAAAACACGTTAGCCCGGGAGTTGAGTCCTGTGTTTTGGTTGTTAGCGTATGTGCTAGCAAGCAGAATGACCCGTACTTTACCTCTCCTGGCCTCAATTTATGAACTAAAGGAGTTGCTTTAAGATGCATTCCTGATCTAAAATTCTAAGCTGTTATTACTCTACTTCAGGTCTAAATAGCTCATGCTTTTTGGGGGTTATTTAGTGCTAACAACATGATTTCATGTGATGTCTTGTCAGGTCTATGAAGACTGGGATTGTTTCAAAGTCAACGATGTTCTTGAGCTGTACGGCATCCTCTCCGTGGACCCCGTGCTGAGTGTACTGAACAACGACGAAAGGTGGGTCTTTTTGCTCTTTTTTTGGGTAACTTTATTTTGATATTATTTCTAACTTTCAGAAAAGTCAGAGGATAATTACAAAGAACTCTTTATTCCTTTACCCACATTTATCAGTTGTCAGCACTTGTGCCCCATTTGCTTTATCATTTGTGCTCTAATCTTATGTACACACATTTTTTCTAAATATGTACATTTTTATGAAACATTTGATAGTAAGTTGCATATATAATACCCTAAATGCTTGAGTCCATATTTCCTAAGATCAAAGACTTTAGCTTAAAAAAAGTGAATTTCTCACAGTCCTGGAGACTGGAAAGTCCAGGATTAAGGCCCCAGCACATCCAGAGTCTAGCGAGGGCCGGTGTCCTGGTTTGCAGATGGCTGTCTTCTCGTGTCTTCATGTGGCAGACAGCAGAAAGCCTTGACACCTTCGAAGTGTCGAAGCCAGTTGTTTTGTAGGGTGTCTCTCAGCTTGAGTGTGACTTATGTTTCCTCCTCATTAGTTCAGATTATGCATTTTGGGCAGGAATACCACAGAAATGATACATCCTTTTCAGTGTATGACATCAGGAGGCATATGATGTCACTTTGTCCCATGACTGGTGTGTTCATTTTGATCACTTGGTTAAGGTGGTACCTACCAGGTTGCTGTCCTATAAAGTTACTGTTTTTCACTTTGTACTTAACAGGTAACTTGCTGGGAGACATGGTGAGAGTATGTAAATACCTAGTTTTTCATTTAACTTTCACCAGATTACTTTGGTATCTGTTGGTGATTCTTGCTTGAACCAATAATTACTATGACAGTAATTTTCTCTCTCAGTCATTCCTTCTACATTTATTTGTTGGCATTCTGCAGAAGAGATTTCCTTTCTCCCCATTTATTGAGTTGATTTGTTTTGTCATTGTGGATGTTAATCTGTTATTTATTTTGAGATTCCAGTTTTCCCATATTTGGCTAGTGGGAGCCATCTTAAGCAGTCTCTGGGTCCTTTTTGACAAGACTTTATCATTTGGAACATGTTTTTTCTGACACATTAAGCTATTTCAGCTTCATTTTGTACTTCTCATGTTCTGGCCCCAATATCAGCCATTTTTCCATTTAAAATCAAGATCTGGGTGCTCGTGTGCTCACTAGTACTGGGTTGGCATTGCTTCTGTGCCCACTTAATGGACAGAGCTAGGAAATATGTACACACACACACACACACACACACTACACATAGGTCTCTATTTCCAAGTCTGTCTCAGAAAGCGAGTTCACCTGGATTCCTGGTCAGCCCAGCACCACAGCTGTCATTCCAGTTTCCTGTCCAGATTTCCAGCTCCCTTCTCTAACAGAACCCTGACTCCCATCATTCTTAATATACTCGTTTGCTCAGCTCTACAGTACGGAGAGGGTAGTTTCAGGATCGGGGACCCATACATAGCCCTGCAAAAGACAGCCCTGGTAACCCGAGTACAGTGTCTGTTCCCGGTTCTTTCTATTTCAGGATGAGGGTAGGTTCTGGTCGGAGTGGTGTGTTCCCAAGTTACTTGGGTGCGTCCTTTTCTCCCCGCTCGGTGCAGTTCTGCTTTTGATTTTTCATTTTACAGAGTTAGGTTCATTTGTTCTCAAAGTGTTTCATTTCAGAATTTTTCCTCCATTCTTATTGTTTTGATTTTTTTAAGTGTAGAAAACATTAACATTGTTGCCAAAATCAAAACTGCAAAAAGAATGCAAGAGTGTCATTCCCCATGGCTTCGCTCTCTTCCCATTCATCCTTCCTGCAGAACCAGCTTCAGTTTCTGTTCTTCCTGTGTTTCTTTGTTGCAAAAATAAGTAGATACATGTATATTTTATTCTAGAAGAAGAGGCATAGGATGTGCGCTTTTCTGCTTTTCATACCTAACAATATATCCTGAAAAGCCAGCTCTTCCTCCTTTTTGTTTTTGTTTTTGTTTGTGTTTTTGTTTTGTGGTTGCCAAAAGAAAGGAATCACATCTGCCTCCTACACACACACACAGAGTTTTCTTGTCGAATAGCGGACATTCATCTTAGTGTTTCCATAGGAAGAACCTATTTTTTTTCCATAGTAAAATGATGCAAAACAAAAACTTTAAATAAACTTAACATTCCTTAAGAATAGTACACACAATGGCTTGTCTTGGCTGTTTCTTGCTATGATGATTTTCTTGCTTTGGTCACTTCATTTATCGAGGTGGTTTAGTGTGCGGACCGAGCCCGCTGGCCTGGGTCAGAGTCCTGGTGTGGCCGTCATAACTGCGTGACCTTGGGCTTCGCTGCTGCAGCGGCTTGGTTTCCTCGTTGGAAACGAGGGTGGTGGTGAGGCTGTAGTGAGTGTGTGTGTGCAAAGTGAAGAACATCGCCCAGCTCGGGGTACACACTGCGTAAAGGCTGATTCCCGTTCTCATGTTGACGGAAGATGGTAGTATGAATTGATTACTCTGCAGTCTGTAAGGTCTGAAGCTCTAAAAACATTTTACTCATTTGTTTCCATCAAAAATCTATCATCTGCTAATTTATTTAGCAAATCTGAAAAACTCACTTTATTTTCATTGCTGGTATACCAACTATTCGAGAGAGATATCACAGAATAAAACTTAGGAAAAACAGTTAGCAAGACAGATGAATGGATTTTCCACACACTGAATAAAGGATACCTGATAGCTTTCTAGAAAAAAGACCCTGTTTTTGAGACATTCCGTGACATTTGCTGTCTCGCTGATAGCTCAAGAAAGAGTATTTGTGTTTTGAAATCACCTAATGAGTAGACATACTATATCCCATTTAGCTCAGTGACAGCATCCTGAACACAAACATCGCTCTGGAAGAATGAAATACAGTATAACATCCAGCTAGCCTAGAACCTGCGTAAGGTAACGAATGAGGCGCTGTTTTCTGAGACGATGCACAGGTGGCTTGAGTTCTCATTCTTTGTTCAGTCTGCGCAGCCGACGTCATCTGTGTACTGAAGCTTTGCTCCTCCCCGCAGGGACGCCTCGCTCCTGGACCCGATGGAGTGCACAGACACAGCCGAGGAGCAGAGAGTGCACAGCCCTCCCGCTTCCTTAGTGCCGAGAATCCACGTGGTGCTGGCACAGAAGCTGCAGCACATCAATCCGTTACTGCCGGCTTGCCTTAACCAAGAGCAGAGCAAAACCTGTAAGTGTAAGAGCTCGAGCCTCGCGACCCACACTTCATCCCCAGCGTGTGTGGAGCTGCCTGTGACGGGTGCTCATGGCATAGCTGAGTCCGTCAGGTCCTCCTTTGTCAGAATAATCACTGTTTCTTTGCCCCATTGTCCTTTATGTTTATCCTCTTTGTTAATGGGGGGAGGGTACACAAGCTGTCTTGTAGCTTGAAGACTGGCGCCTCTTACTGACTAATGTTGGCAAGTCTGTCCTCGTCATCTATCGACCTGTAGTGCTTTTGTTCCAGTTTCCTTTTTTTAACCTCGAGTTCCTCTCAGATGTCTTATTCGAGTGCGTTATCCTGAATCAGGTCTCCCTTCCTTCTCTAGTTGTTTCAAGTTTCATGTCCGAATTATCTCCAATCAGAGCAGAACTGCTTGGGTTCCTCACGCATGCCCTCCTGGGAGATGGCTTGGCTGCCGAATACCTTATACTGCACCTCATCTCGACAGTGTAAGTGCTCAATTCCTGGCGGGAATTAAGTAGTTTTTTGAAAGTGGAAAAGAGCGGGAAGGTTTCTCAGGTAATCTGTGCGCTTCATCGTCGACTGGTTTTCATTGGTCCAGTGTAACAAGTGTTGCACCAAGTCACAGCCAGACTCCTGTTTTGACCTTTTCCCAGTTTCACATTTAGCATTTCGATTATGTCTCTTTAAATTTAAGAGTCAAAATCAGATAAAAGGGCCTGGCTGGTGAGTAAAATGAGCTGTTTTATCCTTTTTGCATTCTGAATTCTCTGTTTATCCAGCCCACGGCTCATTATCTAGAAACAGTCAACGAGGTCGGTCATGTGCTCATCTGACTTATAAGTGGATGTGAGCACCCCTCCCTCCGTCTCACCGTAGTTGGTTTCTGATTTCAAAAGCAACATGCGTGCCTTCGGCAAGTTCCAAGAGCATGAAGCAGAGGTGGAAATCATCTGTAGTCACCACTTAGAGATACTCTCGGTTAACACGTTTGGTACATGTTCACGCCATCTTTTTGTTTGCATACATGTACATCCCTACGTAGGTCTCGATATGCCCTAAATGCAGATCCACGTCTTGCATTATCATTTAATATGTATTAAACGTTATCCCATCATGACTCTTGATGAACTTTTTGATGAGTGAGTGAACAGTATTTCATTGTAGACAGTTGTACCCTTTCCCTAAATGCTAGATTTTCCAAGTTCATTATATAGTACAGAGATGCAGTAACCGTCTTTGTACTATAAATCTTTGTTTAAATAGGATTTGACACAGTAGTACATGATGGTTATGAGCACAGACTCCAAAACCAAACTACCTGTGTTCAAACCCAAGCTGGCTATGTGAACTCAGTCATGTTCCCCAAACTTTCTGTGCCTCAGATTTCTCATCCGTAAAATGAAGATAATCTTACCAACCTCAGAGGGTTTGGGGATTAAATGAGAAAGCATGTAAGCACTCAGAACAGTCTCTGGCACATGATAAGACTTCACTTAAATATTGGCTGCTTTTTATTGCTGTTATTCTGATTAAAAATATTAATCTATTTTTAATGATACTATATTAAGCTAATTTTTCCACGTTTGCTTTTTGACGAAGATCAAGAAGTCACCTGAGTATCTTATTGATGGATATTTTTTTTTTTTCTAGATACACAAGAAGAGACGTTCTTCCACTAGGAAAATTTACAGTTAACTTGAGTGGTTGCCCGCGGAATAGCACCTTCACAGAACACTTATATCGAATTATTCAGCATCTTGTTCCAGCAGTAAGATCAATACAAATATGTATTATAAATTAAGCACACTTTAAAATCCAGCCAGTTGTCTTTACTTCAACCCAAATATTTAACTTTGAGATTTTAATAGATGTCATTACAGGGAAACAAAGCCTGCCACAGTCCATAATTCACAATGTACTTTCCCCTAAACCTTCCGCTTCTCTTTCATTACCTTGGCAGAAGTTTCTCTAGCGATGAGCCCGACTGCAGGAACTCCCTTACGGTTGTGCTCTCGGCCGATGCGGGTTGGCTTGTGTCGTGCACAGCCGAACACTCGCCTCTTCAATGTCTTGTAGTTTTCGCAACAGATTAGAGTGTGAGTGACATGCTTCCGCTTACATGCGGCCAGACCCTGCTCGTGGCATCTTTTGATGCAACAAGCTCCTTCTTCAGGGGGGGCTCGCTTGTATCTATAAAGTGCCCTCCATTGTCTTTGACTTCAGCGGAGCCAAAACACAAAAATTCTCTGAATTTGGAAAATACACCTCACGTCCGCCCCGACATGCTTCTCCTGCGCACGCACGCACGCACGCACCCCGTCTCCAGCCCGAGCACACACACTCCTGTAGAGGCTAACGCAGCAGAAGAGCCGACTGGAGCATGGAGCAGGCTGCAGGCTGTGGGGGCGCCAGCTCCAGGAGACCGGAGGAGGTGGCGCGGCGGGTTGAACGGGGTCTTGGCTCCTACGACTGGGCGAGGAGGGCCACACAGCCAGGTGGCGCGAGCTCCAGACGCATGGCGCCTAGCCAGCACGTGTGCCCTGCTGTCGGATCTTGGAACAGTTTGTTCAGGAGCCCGCAGCAGTCTGTGATGAATGGGTCTGATTTGAATTCAGGGAAGCATAGAGGAGAATTAGGCTTTTCTCCCACGGTGATGAGTAAACGAACATTTTCTGTTTTGCTGCTCTGTGGTAGGTTAAAGAAGTTAAGCTTTTGGATATTTGCTATATGTAACATCTCAGCTGTCTATCATTTGTGTCTGGCTCACTGGTAAAATAAAAATTAACCTTTAAGAATACTGAACAAGACAGTTGAGAATAAAGCAGCTCAGTGAAACTCTTATTTAGGATAGAGCTATTATTTTTGCTCAAGAGACCATGAGACTACTGCCTGAGGAATTGATAAGGTCCTTCTTTCTATATAAAATAGTGTTTAACTCCAAATATATGTTTTCTTAAAACCGGAAACTTAGTTCCTTGCTCATCAAAAAACTTCTTTTTGCAGTCTTTTCGTCTCCAGATGACCATAGAGAACATGAACCATCTGAAATTCATCCCTCACAAAGACTACACAGCCAACCGCTTGGTCAGTGGGCTCCTGCAGCTGCCCAGCAATACTTCCCTTGTAATTGATGAGACGCTCCTGGAGCAGGGGCAGCTCGACACCCCAGGTCGGTTCATGGGTATTTCCGTTTCTAACCTCCCTAAAGCCACATCTGATCATGGCTTCTTAAAAGAATAACTGTGAATAGAGACAAATGCATAAAGGCTTGCCATGTGAATTTAATTGAAGTGTGTATTATGAATTGTGTACATCAACTATCTTTTGTCAGTTTTATGAAAATGGTACAATGATAGTACAACTAATAGCTTTTTAAAGGCTGAAAAGGGAAGAAGTTTTGCCTTTAGTCATATTATTACCTCAAAAGTGTAGACAAGATCTAGTAAAACAAAGTGAAGTTTTAAAATTTTTTTCAAAGACTATCTAAAAGGAATATTTAGTAGATGAGATGGTTTGAACTAATTTCAGTTATGGAACATAAAATTACAGGAACGCAGATTGCATTATTTGCTCAAATAAGAATTAAGAAGTCACTTTGCTGGTGATGAGGTCAAGACGAAGAGGTAGAATTAAAAACTGTATAGACTGGGTACATTTAAGGCAAAAGTGAGTAGCAAATTTGTAAAATTCAGTAACCTTATCTCTGTGGATAAATATTTTAGTTCTAATATTTTAGCCCTGTTGAACACACCCCAGAAAAAAATACTTACTGGAAACCTCTTTTTGTTTGATTGTATACCAGATGCTATACTAGGTATTAGATTTTGGGGGATCTTGGCCCCTGAAATATATTTGTCTAGTTTGACAAATATTATGTGGGATGTTTACCTAATGAACACTGAGCTTAGTAAATTGGACAGTGCCTCATACACTTTCTCAAAGCAGTAGAAACCTCATGTCTCATAATCAATGTCAGCAAAACTTGTTTAGGTGATTAAAATCCAGTAACTGAAATTTTTGCTTTTTCTAGGTGTTCATAATGTGACTGCCCTGAGCAACCTGATAACTTGGCAGAAGGTAGATTATGACTTCAGTTACCACCAGATGGAATTCCCCTGCAATATTAACGTTTTCATTACTTCGGAGGGGAGATCGCTCCTACCGGTATGATGAGTCATTTTTAAGTGGAGGGAGGCTACACTGGAAAGATACCTATATTTTTGTTTTATTTCTTGGTACTGCTTATTACTAAGTTAAACTTGTTTTTAAACTGTGGCTGCTGATTATAAATATGGGAATTGATTATTTCGTTGTTGCCTATTTACAAAGAACCAGGTATCAGCATATCACACAACAAGCAAAGGAAGCAGATGGAAGCAGTAACGCCCCCATCTAGGCATAGGAAGTAGAAGCTGTCTGTAGCTTGACCGGGTAGCCTCCAGACCTTCGCTTCTGCTGTCTCTATCCCATTGTTTTTCGCCAGTCTCCTGTGAGAGAGATTTTAGAGATCCTTTTAAAGGGTCCCTGATGACTGGTAAATCATCAGAGTGACTGATGAGAAATAAGCCCAGTCGTTTAGAAGGTATCTAGTTTCTCTATATAATAGTGTTCACTGTGATTTACAAGAAAACTGCCTGTGAACGAATGAAACAGCCCATTTGTAAGTTTTCTATGAGAAAGTCTGATTAAGTTAAATATATATTCCACAATTAAGGAAACATCTAGAACATTTTAATTAGCTGCTTTTTAGAGGCCGGCTGCCTTTTTACATGTTTGCTGATACCATTGAGGAAACATAAGAAAAGTCTTTTAACTTTTTAAATTATTGTTGAGGTAGTTATATTTATGTAAATTAATTTTTTAAAAAGGGACTTCCACCCAATAATAAATAATCTTTTCTAATTCCCTGTGCGGCCAGTAGAGATGATGCATCCATCCTCCTGAAACCTCAGATTAATTTAGGAACTTGGAGAATACTGTGTGCTACTTCTCCTTTTAGGCAGACTGCCAGGTTCACCTGCAGCCCCAGCTGACGCCTCCCAACATGGAGGAGCACATGAGCAGCCTCCTCGCGGCCGTGCTGCCCTCCGTGCTGAACAAGTTCCGCGTTTACCTCACCCTCTTGAGGTTCCTGGACTATAGCATATCTGACGAAATAACCAAGGTATGTTTGGGTTAAAATAAAGGATTTCCCAGTGTCGAATTGGAATGTGTAATCAATTTACATTTATTATACTTATTGACAAGGAAATTTTGTTATTTTCTATTAATTTCCATGTCTTGTACAATTTTTCTTCTTAGTAGTTGCTCTGGGGGCTACAATTAATAACTGTGACCATAGATTTGGGATTAATGCCAATTTAATCACAATAGTATACAAAAACTTTGCTTCTTTATAATTTCCTTCTCCCTTCCTTGGTGCTTTACAGATTACATCTTTATTGCATTGTTACGTTCATCAACACATTTATAATATTGCTTTAAATCAGAGGAAAAAAGTTAAAGACATTTCTATGCTTTTTGTATTTTCCTGTGTAGTTCCCTTTGCCAGTGATCTTTATTTGGATTCAAGCTACTTTGCTCTCTCCTTTCATTTCAACCTGAAGAACTCTCTGTAGTGTTTCTTATAGGGCAGATCTGCTTATGACAAATTCTCTTAAGGTTTTGCTTATCTGGAAACGCCTTAATTTCTCCTTCATTTTTGAAGACTAGTTTTGCTGGATGTAGAATTCTTGGTGTATAGGCCTTTTTTCTCAGCACTTTGAAGTTATTTAAAAAGCAGTATGTCCTCCAAAGCAGAACCTCCCTCCACCAGCTGTGTCCCGCAGAAGCCTCCTGGCTTCTGGTGAGGGGATCCTTCTGCACAGCGCATCATTGTTCTTGTTCTTTCATGATTCTCTTTGGCTTTCGACGGTTTAACTGCAGCGTGGCTAGGTATGGATCTCTGAATTTTCCTACTTTTGGAGTTTACGGAGCTTCTTGGATGTGCAGATTAATGCACATTTTGGGGGAAGTTTTTAAGAAATTTGTAAGTTTTGACCATATTTCTTTAAATGTCTTTCTGCCCCTTTTTCTCTCCTTCCCCTGGCACGCCGATATATGTATGTTGGCACACTTGATGGTGTCCCCCTAGACTTTGATTTGAGGCTGTGTTCGTATTTTCTCATTCTTTTTCCTTTCTGTTCCAAAGACTGGATAATCTCAGTTGACCTGGCTAAAAGTTTGCCAATTCTTCTGCCTGCTCACATCTGCCGTTGAGCCTTTCTAGTGATTTTTTAATGTTATATTAATTCAACTTTAGAATTTGCTTTTTAAATAATTTGTTGATATTTTTTATTTGGTAAAACATTCTCATATTTTCTTGTAGTTCTTTATACATGGTTTCCTTTGAATATATTTAAAGTAGATGATTTAAAGTCTAATATTTGTGTTTCTTCAAGGTTGGTTTCTGTTGACTTTTTTCTTAATGAATGGTCATACATTCTTGTTTCTTTGTATGTCTTCTAATTTTTGTGTGGAAAATCTGACATTTTAAATAATACAATGTGGCAACTCTGCTGAGTTTCTCCCCACCCCCACCCCAGGGTTTGCTGTTGATGACTTTTCTGAATTATATAAAATCTGTGTTCTTTGTTGTGTATGGGCACTGAAGTCTCTGCTGTTAGCTTAGTGGTCAGTCTGTAATTGGATAGGAATTTAATTTCCTTAGATGCCTGGAAGCAGTATGCCTCCTGTCTAAGCCAAGGGGCTGTGTCCATGTTGGAGCCAGCCTTCAACAGAGCCATGCAGCTTACAGCTCTGCCCTAGCCTTGAGGTTATCCAGAGATGAGAGCTTAGGCCTGTGCATGCACGTGGCATTCTAAATGCCTAGGGATTTATATATATGTGTGTGTGTGTGTGTGTGTATACACGTGCATGCACAGGCCTAAGCTCTGTGCATGCACGTGGCATTCTGTATACACACACACACACACGTATATACATACATACATGTACACATACACAGTTTTCAAAGCCCCTGTGGACATCTCATTCTCTATTTTTCCTTTTAAGGGTTTTGGTTAGCCTGCTATTTGCCCCAACTATTACCCAATACCTGAGGCAGCCAAGGTGACCAATAATTCCTTGGGTTGTTTCTGATAAATGCCCTGGGAGGAAGAGGCTTGTTCCCACTGGGCAGGCTCCAAGGCAGGAGAAAAAGGACAACCTTGCAAATGGGTTTTCCAGGGAACTACCAAACGAATGATGATGGTTCTCTGGGAATGGTGCTTTGAAAGGCTCCAGCCCCAGTACCCTTTCAGTGGTCGCCAGGCTGTCCATTTTCAGGTGGGGTGGGGGTGCGGAATAGGGTAAGTTCAAATGCCTCAAAGCTCATTGTCTTTGAATAAATGCTGCTCAGATTGCTATAAGCATCTGGTTGGTTACCTTCCAGAGTTTTGAAGAAGCTGTTGTTTTTTTGCTAGTGTCCTTATTCCTTTTAATGTGGAGATGAGTTTTCAGAGGTCCTTACTCTGCCATTTCTGCTGACATCTTTCTACCCTGTGTTTAAAGGCATCATTTGCTATGCAAGTTGCTGGCTTCTGTCTGCTTTGTCTTCTCAAGTGAATCTGAGTTGTATTCCGTTTGGAATACCTTCACCGATAGCATCATTTGTCTGTGTAAAGTTTGGTTCTCACTCCTTTCACTCACAGTCTCATTTGTCTAAGAGGCAGGGCTGCCTGCCTTATTTTCACATCAGTCAAGGAGCCAGGTCACTTTCCTCGCCCTATTAAATGCAAATGTCGTTCTTTTCTGTGGAACAGTTTTAAAGTCTCTTTACTCTTTTGTTAAAGGCAGTTGAAGACGACTTTGTGGAGATGCGTAAGAACGACCCTCAGAGCATCACGGCTGATGATCTCCACCAGTTGCTCATCGTAGCGCGGTGAGTGGTGCACGTCCCCATTGCTCCCTCAGTTGGCTGTGTATGACTCCTGATTTACTGATAACTGAGGCAGACTTCTAAAAATAGAACCGAACTTTCCCCTTGTAAAAACACCTCGCAGAGTGGAATTGTTTGGCCATTGATCACTTCATTGGAACCAGGCGTGCTTCTTGCTCTCTAAGCTTCTGAAAGCAAGTCACCCTCCAGATTTGACTTAAGGGATTCCTCTGTAGAAATCTGAGTTGGCTCTTGTTTGTGTCGCTACCAGAGATCCTTTCTCCTAACCCAGAACTCCTAGGTCTTAAGAAAAAAAAGGAATCATCCTAGGTCTCGACTTAAATTTGTTTGTGTTTCGAACCAGGTTTCTGTCTCTCAGTGCTGGTCAGACGACACTGTCCAGAGAACGATGGCTAAGAGCAAAGCAGCTAGAGTCTTTGAGGAGAACCAGGCTTCAGCAGCAGAAATGTGTGAATGGAAATGAACTTTAAGATCTGATACCTATGAAAGAGTAATGGGCAAATTGTAGCCACATTATTGTAAAATTCAAATACCATTTATACCACATTGTTTTGTAGATAATTTGTATCAAAAACCAATGACTTTTCCCGAAATCAAGCCTGGTAACATCTTAAGTTTATATAATATTCAGTAAGGGCTTTTACCTTACTGATTTTATGGAGCTTTTGAAGTTTGTTTTATAATTATATAAATCAGTAACAATGTACAAAAATTGTATTTGATATAAAAGTTTAATATTGATAATGTTGATTATACCATTTCCTTAAGCTTCAGCAAAGTCATAGGCCAGATTCTGTTGAAATGCTAACTTCAACTTCATTTGAAGAAAATTGTTGAAATTCCAAAGTTAGGACTTGTTCACTTAAGGTTTTTTCGTCTTTCTAATTAACGGGGTCTGAATGTGTTTAGCGGTCCCAGTTTGGGGAATGGGGCATACTTGCCAGTAATTCACATAACCATGTGAAATTCTGTAGTATCATTTCCCAGACATTTGACCACAGAAGCTTTTTTTCATCTAACGGTTGTTAACCTGCAATACTAGTCTTTAACATGGCAGTGGTTCCCAGACTTTTGGAGTTCATGGACCAGTAATATTTCCAAAAATTTTGGGGATGGACAAGGTTGCCAATTTATTTTGCCAAGCTATCTGAAAGAAATCGTTGTATTATCACCATTTTTTTTCATAAGAGGACAATCTCAGGAAGAGATAGTCCTTTAAATGAAATAAATGTAGCTTTTTGAAAAAACACTCCATTGTCCTTATTTTCCTCATTTAACCCCAGTGCATTTGGGAACCACTGTTTTTTGGGACTCACTTAAGGAAATTCTTGCCCTATGAAGTTATTTTGCCCACATAATGAGCCAAGTAGTTAACTTTTTGAAAATGCCTTCTTTAGAAAAAAGGTTTTTAATTCTTTTAATAAATGTGGTTTAATTGCTTTGATGACTGTGTTAGTATCTATTAGTTCCAGATATTAGATCAACTAACATCTGCTAGTCTAGGAAAGCCCTGATAAAACTGTAGGTAGGTTTCCCCCAGACCGATTACAGTTTTAACATAAAACTTTTTAAAGGAACAAAAATATCCATAGCTAGAAAGCAGATTAATACTATAGTATAAGTGTGACAGCAAGAATATTTGGAAAGGTTAGAACATTACATAAGCTACCAGTGGTTGTTTATAAAGATTAATTTAAGTCGGTAAGTTACCTAATTGGAAACAATTAGATATTGCTTAAAATGATTCCTCAAATTCCACACTCCCCTAAATTGACATTGCTAACCAGGAAGCAGGGTCAGCCTTGAAAAGCGAGGAATTTATTATGCCTAACGAACTGAAGTGAAAATTACTAAAAAAAGTTGTTACACTTTTCCTAAACTCAAAGCTATTTTTATAAACTAATGTAAATGATAAGTTTATATTTAGAATTCTAACTGGTTTTCATTTTTATAACTGGTAGACTAGAACTTCCTTAAACTTTTAGAAGTGAAAGCTCAACTGAATTTGTGAGAATAAAATTCATCAGCGTAGAATAGTTACTGTGTGTTTATTGTGCCAATGTGAATTTTAATTTACCAAAGAAAAGTACGTAACTTGCTTGGTCTTGTAGAAAAGTTCCCTTCAAGGGAAAACCTTCTTTCAAAGAAATAAAACTCATCCCATGTGATGTGTTGAAGAGATGCTGTGTCCTCTTGATGGAAGACCATCCCCTGAGGTACACTTAGTATGGAGAGTGGTGCAGCATGGTGTCCACCACTCAGGTAGGAAGAGAATTCTGGGCTTCAGAAACCCTTTTCTTGCTACACACGTGGACGTTAAAGTCTGTTAGTCTAACGCAGTGTTAATCCTGTATTGAATCACCAGGAAACTGGAACGAAACATCGCCTTTAGTTCTCAAAAATCTCTTTGGAACTAACTTCTGTGGAGTTTAAAATGCATATTATCACAAGACTTTGCTTATATTTTCTCATGTTGTGGAACAGTTAATATTTTCAAGAAAAGTTGATTAAGAGCAGGATAAAACATTCCATTTCAGTACTTGGGTTTTAAAATTTGTTGGTCTCTGATCCATTTCATCATTTTTAAAGTCATGAAAACACTTCAAAGGGGTAAAACATTTGGAAAAGCAAACTTACTTTACTTATGAATTACCAAAGAAATTTAATTTAATTTGATTCAAAAATCAAACCGTTATCTTTAAAATGTTATTCAAGGAATTCTCATACATTATCACTTTAAATTACAATAGTATTTTATTTTTAAATAGTCACAAGATTTGACAATTCACACACACAGGAAAAAGATATCACTAATAAATAACAAAAGTGGAAATACTCATCAAAGTTACAACAGACATAATGCTTAGCTGAGAATCACCTCAACAGTAAGGCTCTGAACAAACCAGACAAACTGCTCCTCGTTAGGATTACGTGTCGGGGCTGATAGAAGAGGCCCCAGTTCCATGTGGTCAGGGTTACAGTACACAGCCAATTTTAGCACAGTTGTGCTTCAGACTAAGTTTTCAATAGTTGCAATAATCTACACAAGATGTTAAGGAATGCCCCCAAGAGAAATTAAAATTTGAAGACTTCTTTCAAGAATAACCAATATCCAGTAAATGTACATTCTTACCTGAAAACAGCAAGATTAATAGATGCTGGTATTCACATCTGATGTCTCAGCTTTTAGGACTGACGAGTCTTAACACTTCTAGACTTTGGGGTGTATAGGGTGGTAGAAAACTTAAAATTTAAGTAGAATAGAGGGAAAATTAGGATCAAATGGGCATGTATTTCTTGACTGTATTGCCAATAACCCTCAACCCTTCATAGGGAATGATGAAGCCATCTTTAAAACTAAAATAACGGTTTTTAATATTCAAATGCTTCGCCATACTAGTAACACTAAAGTCACTAAAAACTAAATATATTTACCTTGTAGAGGTAATACACAAATGACCGACAAAAACAAATTATAAAAAATGCTAATCCCCTAAATGTATCCATGACTATCCTTTATGCACCCACCCACCTCCAAAAAAGTTTCAGGTTATCGCGTCCCAAAGTGACCTATCCCTGAATTACTTTCAGAGAGACAAACTGCTCTGTAGTGTACAAGCTACTCAGGTCCACACATGCTAGGACGATGCACTTCGGTCGTCCTGACCCTCAAATCTGGAAATCTGTTCAGGTTCACACTCCGTTTAAAACCTTTCCCAATAAACAATTAGAATCTGTGACCTAGATTCAAAGACAATACAGGTTAAAAGAGCCTAATATGTGAAACCTTTTTTTTTTTTTTTTTTTTGGATTAAATAAAAGCCACAGGATTCTTGTGGCTACAAACTAAATCTGAATTATTCGTGTCTGGCACTGCGTAAACATACTTTTAAGTTCGTTTTGCTGGACTTCATGGACCACTTCAGGTTCGGCAGGGCTCTTCTGAACCTTTGCCACTGCAAAGTTTATCCCCTGGGTTAACCCAGCTTGGGTAATGCTAGCAACCTGGACCATGGAGCTTCGAATCTTTGCAAAGGGAGAGACTGCTCTGCTGCTGCTCTCTGAAGGAGAAGGAGTCACATGAAGCCCTGTCTCAAGTTCAAGCACACTGGATCCAGAGCCGAGAGTATTTTGAGATATGGCTGGTTCAACAGACAAAAACTGTGGGCCTGTTGCAGAAGACACATCTAACTGAGATGGTCTAGAAGGTATCTGTTCCAATGATTCAGATTGGGTTTCTTCATTAGAAACTTGATTGCTCATTTGATTTCCTTCCTCACTAGCCTGCTGAGAAACAGATCCGGTTTCTGATAGCTTGGTCGTTTTGTTTTGTGCATCTTGTACAAATCTGTGGCAGTAAATATCCACAGGCTTGGCAAAGCCAGTCAAGATGTGTATGTTGTCAGCAGAAGGACTTTTTTTCAAAGGAGACTCACAGCCTTTTCCAAGGTCACTTCCACGAGTGATAGTACTCTCCGAAGGAGCATGAATGCTGATATCAGTGCTGCTAATAGATTGGGATCGACTGCTTAATCGAGGTGCTGAAGCAATAATACCACAACTAGGAAGAACATAGTCTACTGGCCCTACGCTCTCTAAAGAATCAGCTAGCTGCCTGTCTTCATCAGACTTGGAATTTGTAAGGAATTCATCAGAACGGTACGAGTCATTATCTGAGGACGCTTCCCCGTCAGACTCTGCCTGGACTTTACTATCCATCACACTTGTGTTTTCCATGGTTTCAAGACTACTGTCTGATTTCCAAAGATTGACTTTTAAGTTTGGTTTTAGAAAGTTAACTTTCATTTCAGGTTTTGTAAAGTTTCCTAGTTTTCGTAGATTGCTGATATTTACATTGGATTTGGTCTGTTTGACTTTTTGATTTAGAGATGAAAATTTGCTCATTAAAAAATTTTTCCCCTGGGCCAGAGAGCCTTGATTTTGAGATCTGATGCCAATGATGTCTTCATGCGGTTTACTGCTCTTCCTACAAATTAGAAGACAACAAAGTTAATTCCCCATAGAATTCAACATACCAGTTCCAGTTATTTAAGTGAAAATTCTTATCTAAATTGGCCCTGATTTCTTGAAAACAGTACACTGCTGATTGATAAACTCAGAACCCCTTGGAGCTGACACAAGAACAGTATTGTGCAACAGAGATGTGAGCTGCAGATGTAATTTAAAATTTTCTAGCAGCCGCATTAAAAATGTGAAATGAATTTTTAAAGTATTTTACTTAACCCAGTATATATGAAATATTGTCACTTCAGCATATAATTGACATTAAAAGATGAGACATTTTTCAGACTAAGTCTTTTAAACACTGTAGTGTTTTACAAGGGCAGCAGAAGCCTTGGTAAACACTGATGAGTTGTTCCCAGGTACTGGTGGGAACAGGTAGCCCGACTGTGTGACTTTTACACCAAGTCCAGCAAGCAGGCCACAGACATCTTCATGTGCTCTGTCCTCATCTTCCTTAAGCAGGCCACCAGGTACACTGAAGAGCCACCTAATGAAGCCACTACTATATCTGCAACATCTTAATCCTACTCAGTGAAGCTCTTCCTGGTAAGTGGATTAATTATGTTGGATGCTTTTGGACCAAACATTTGTCTTCAGAGTTGATCATTATTACGTATTTCCTTCAACAGTATTCTCCCAAACGTGCAGAGAGGAGACAGTGGAAGAAGGGAGGGAATCCCCCCCAACGGTGGCCTCAGCCTGTGTTTTTGTGCATTCTGAGAATTTCTTCCTAAAACTCCAAAAACCCCACGCCCAAAATTCAGACTAGTGTCATTTCAAAGGCTCCACGTCCACATGTGGTGAGTGGCTACCATGTGTGGCAGCACAGGTCCACCACACCTACAATCTAAACCACCAGCAAAGGCAACAGTGGCTGTAAATGGGAATCCACAGCACCTTAACTGAAGCTGTCTACACATATCCAATTTGGGTGAATTCAGGTAGAGTAGGAGGAAGGATTCTGTTTCCTTACGTGTTCTATGGGATACCTGAATTTATTTTAAAAGGTTTGAGACATTTAACATAACTTAGTGTTTTCTCCTCTGGCATTCCTCATGATAGCTAGCTATAAATAAGAAAAAAAATCTGCTATTCACCACACATCTCAGTACAACTTGAGTCATGTGGGATAGCCGGTCTTGAGACTACTTCATAAAAATTATGCTAAAGACCTACTGAAAGAATTCTACCAACAAAAGACTGAACAATTTTTCACTAGATGACCAAATAGCCCTCTCTTCGCTAGTGGAATGTGGCCCACGAAACCTCATTAGACAGAAAATCCACAAATTCAAATGCAAAATAACATTTACAGGCATTCTTTTCTCAAATTCAGAAATCTAGTGTTTAAAACTGTCTATGTTCTCTACAAAGTTATTTGGTTGAACGTGCCCTCTCGAGTATATAGGTTTAAAATATATCACTTGTGACCATAATTTTAATAAAATGTTTTACTTTTTGATCCACGGAAATTTGATACTTCCCTCTCTAAATTCCAACTCATCATTACAATGTGATCACACCTACCCACCCAAACTCTTTGCAATTCTTTGAAAGAAGTAAGGCTTTGGATAATGTCTTTATTCTTGAGAGAAAATCAGTGTACTTACCTCTCAAGTTTTTTCTCGATTATGGGTACATCTAATCCCATGGCTTGCTTGGTGATCTGCAGCATCTCTGCAATGCACTGAAGGGTATCTGAAACCCAAATATAACTAATTGTCAGTTTCTCCCTAAACATCCTAAAAAAACAGCAGTTCTAACTCAGAACCTAAATGAAATTTGTGGCCTTACAATTAAATACAAATTTACTTGCTACAATTTACAGACAACAGCTACTTATTCATTATTCCCTCCACTAATTCAGAGTGTTCTAAAACCAATTTTAACAGGAAAGTAAATAAAGAGAGCAAAAGAACCATATCAATTGGAATTAAAAGTTTATTCTAACTCGTGTGTGCAAATATTGCTAGAGGCAAGGCAGTAGCTGTGAACAAGACAGGTGTGGTCC